TTTCAAGAAGTCCAGTAAAATTTCCACTTCTCTCACCGCATCGTGTACCACGTCCCAGATAGTCTCATGCATGTTAAGATTCTTCCTGATACCTGCGTTATGTGTGCAATCCACGAGTATGTGGTTCACAGTTCTAAGAGAACCACACCTGACGCAGGTAAGGCTGGTTCTCGGCCGTGGAGAAGGTAGCCACGCGAAAACTCGCAGTGACCAATTCAGAGGCGGCGCAGGGTTATTTCCTTTCTTCTAGACCTCCTGTTGCTCGTACACCATTTAGCACTATTTGGTTTAACCAGAGAGCAACTTTTCTCCATGTTTCATTCCATTAAGCTATTATTTGAAGTTTCGCTTGCCTCACCCAGTCCTCCCGAGGTACATAATCAATAGATTTTATCACATTGTAAACATGCGTTCGAGCCATTCGGGATGCGATGTCTACCTGTTCGTTTCCGTCTATACCACAGTGCGATGGAGCATAAATGAAAGCTATTACGTTTTCCTGCCCTTTTACTGACCCCAGCGAGTTCTAAAATATCCACTATCGTTGCATGTTTAGATATTTGGCTTTGGATTGCCAGTAGCACACTCATTGAGTCAGTTACAATGGCTGATTTTTGGTGATTGTCAGCCTGGCAAATCACAATCGCTTCCTTTACGGCAGTTGCCTCTCCCGTAAAGATTGAGCAGGCACCGGGTAGTCGGTAAAGAAAAGTTTCGCTTTCTTTAATCACAGCACATCCTACTATAGAGTCCTCACATTTCGAAGAATCTGTGTACAACAATACTTTGAAGTCTTTAAATTCTTCTAAACGTTATAAGACATTTTTTTGAATTTCCACTGGACATATCGAGATTTTTAAAACTTTCGATAGTGATGTATCAATATTCATGGCGACACCAAGGTGGTTTGGTACTGTTTGTAATCTATTGTATACTATGTAAGTTCGTATTATGGTTCAGGGATGGAATTGATTCAATAATTCTTCGATACATCATGTTCATCTGAAATTATATATTCTAATGTATTCCCTCTGTACGGATTCAATGGATGCTTCGGAAGTGATGCCAATTTCGCTAAATTCTTAGCAAAGAAGTACGACCTTCTTATTTTTATTGAAGGCTCTGCACTTTCAATACTTTGCATTGGAGAAGTTCTATACGCTTCAGTACATCATACGTCCTCAGTGCAGAGTTGTGTACAACATCCAGCATCTTGAGACGAGATGTATTAGCAGAACCGTAAATGATTGAGCCATAATCCATCTTACTTCTTGCCGTAGCCATATAGATTCTTATTAGGCACAGTCTATCAGCTCTCCAACTTGAGTGCTAAAGGCACTTGAGCAGTCCTAACCTTTTTGAGCAACCATCCCTGAGATGTTTAATATGGTTATTCCAATTTAAGCGTTAGTCTAAATACATACCTAAGTATTTCCGTTCCTCTACAAATGATATGTTGCGATTAAGAACAATGCAGCACTAAGTGGAGAGCCTTGTATGGTACCGCTTCTCAGCGTGTGGGTTGCAGAGTGTGAGCTTCCGATTTTAACGCAGAAATTTCTATTGTGGAGGAAGTTCTGTATAAATTTCCTGTTATATTCCAGGACCTTAATTTTCAACACTCGTTCCCCCACATTGTCATATACATTCTCAAGATCCAAGGTTTTTTAGCCCTTGTAGCATCTTCGCATTTTTTATTCCTTCATGGAACTACACTTTTCAGGTTTCTCTGCTTTTTAAGTGGAATATTTTGACGGGCCACTTCCATAATTACATAATTAAAGGAATCTAATTGATCGTCTATTCTATTTTCAACATCAGTCAAATCACTTATACTCATTGACTCCCTAAATCCATCCCAATTTGCTGTCCGATATTTCCAGTGTTGTAAGGTTGGTTCAGATGATGAGTTTATTCTAATCCTAAGGACGATTGGGAAGTGATCACTTCCATATAAATGGGGTTCCGTTTCCTAGCTAATCTTCGGAGCTAACCTGACATCGGCCAAACTGAGGTCTATGGCGGAAAATTTATTTCTCTTTGGACAGAAGTGTGTATATTCCCCGTGTTAAGAATAGTGGTTCTTTGATCCATTTCTAAGAAACATATTATCTTGTAGTCCCTATGGTCAAAATCTAGTAGTGGCGAACCCCACTGTTGGCATTGAAATCCCCATAGAGGAGGTAGGGTCTGGATAGTTTAGACGTTATTTCTTCTGTTTTCAACGGATAGACGGACAGATGATGGAATGTATTTGTTACAAATTTTAAGTTGCTCGGTAAATTTTAGTCTTAACTGCGAGGGCATCATGTGGGGTTGTAAATGTCACCTCTTCAGAGAAAATATCTTCCCTCACCGATGTAGAAACACCATCTGTCGGTACACGCCATGTCTTTTCTGTAGGTTGTATATCCCTTTATTTTCATGTTGTTGTTTTCATTTAGGTGGGTTTCTTGAAGGCAACAACACAGAGGACTTTCTTCACTAATCAGCTTCTGAAGGTGTTACAGGTGTCGGAAAAATTCGTTACAGTTCCATTGAATGATACTCTCCATTATCTAAATTTGCCCTTTCATCGCAACTACTGTCCATAACTACAGAAAATCTGTTTGCTGGTTCAGATGATCCAGAAGATTCGAAAGATTTTCGAAAATCGGATTTTCATACCTCTATTTTCAGTTTTATTTCTAAGTTCTTTGAGCATTGTTTTTAAACCTACAAAATCGAGGGTAAATTGCCATAGTAGTTCATTAATGGATGAGCTTTTTTCACCTTGAGCCATGTCCATCAAAAGATGAAGTCTGTCGAATGTTAGTGAATAGTTAGTAGTTATTAGATGACGAATGGGTTCTAGAGAATCGTTGATATTTAGTTTTATTTTCTCTTTTGCTTCATTAGTAGTGTTGCAAACTGTCTTAGATGTTTTACCCTGGGTACCGGTATTATGTGTAAGAACTTTTCGTTTTGCCAAAAAGGTGTTCATTTTTGCATTAGATTTTTTCTCCGAAAGTGTTTTTTATTGGGTGTGTGAAAGTGTTTTTTTTTTTTTACAATAACTCTTAGTTGCTTTTTTACATTTTTCTGAAAATCTCTGTTTTCAGTAGCGACGTCCAATTTAGGTTCAAAACCATCTTGCCTGATGACGGGCTTTTTATTTATGTTGAATGCTTTTGTCCTTTTTGTTCTCTTTTACAGAGGAGTTAATTTGGGAACTAGAAGCATTTCCTGTCAGGAGGGGTGTCTGGTCATCAATTGTCCTGTGTTCATAAGTTGTCCTGTATTCATAAGTTGTGTTCCTGTATTGATAAGTTTAGACAATGTTTCAATGTTGTGTTTTTTTCCATCTTCTGCAAGATCTGATTCTGTGCCACCTACAGGAGGATAGCTGGTCGAGACTTTTTGCAGGTTATTTTCTTCAGTGTGAGTAATCTTTTTAACAAGTAGTTGATGTGGATCAGTATGTTTTTATTTCCTGGGGTCTGTTTGTAGATTTAATCCATTAATGTTTGTCGTGTTTAGATAAATGTTTTTGTTTTATTCAGTATTGGTTTGTGATTTCTTTGGCCCAGCACACAAATTTCCATTGAGCTTTAAACTACTTTCTACTTACTCAGAAGTGTGATTATTAGAATTAGTTGCTGAACCGAGGTTGGCTTTGGGGGTTTCTTCAGATATGTCTGATTTAGGACAATGTTAATTGGACACTTTAATTGACTTCGGTAATCGTACAACATCCTCTGGAGCGATGAAAACTTGTCTCCGAAAGCTTAATATGTGACCTGTCTTGGGCCCTATATATCCTCCTCTTAAAGATTTTATAGAGGATAGTAAGTTAACGTCTAATTTTTTTATTTCATTTTCAATGTGGCACATTAGGTGCTTAGCAGTATTAACTAAGCATCGTATGGGTATGGAATATTCTCCAATGATCAATGTACTATATCTAGAAAATAGCTGATCGACTTGTTTTTTACTGTTTAGATGAACACAAACACCATGATTGTTACATATTCGTGAAGCGAATTTAATATTTAGTGGGTCTACTAATTTAACTAAGCTATCAATGTACTGTTTTTGCTTTATTCCTCTTATAGTAGGAGGTACAATGGCATACTCACGTTTACTTATTGGTTGATTTACTGCCATCGCAGCGTATGTTGGCTGATTTAGATTATTTTGGTCTTGAATAATTGCTAGTACTCGGTTGTTTTCATTTACTTAGGTATTTCTTGCAGAGTCTCCTAAAATCAGCAGCAAGCTCATTGTTTTAAATTTTTACCAAATAGTGCAATTGTGGTTGCACCTTCAGCAAAAATTTAACTGTTTCGGCTCTAAAAGTATCAGTATAAAAGTATCTAAAAGTAAAGCAATCAGCTCTTATTTTCAAAATTTTTATAATCATGTTAAACATTATATTAAAATTGTAATGGTCAATTGAATAAGGTGTTGTCAAGTGCATATTTATTTTACTATCTACATTTGTTATATTCCATATATAATGAACATATTCTGTTATTTTCAGAATTCAGCATTACGTAAAATTCTAGGTTTAGCATTTACTTCTCCAACATACATCATGCCATTTATTTTAATTGGATTTATCTGCAACCCATTTAAATTTAATTATTTTTTCTATTAGACTGAAGATGGCTGAACAGCCTACTGGGAATGAGTCTGTTTTTAGAACTAAATCATCCACGTAGATCATGGCCTGATTTTTGCTGAATTGATATTCACATAGTCCAGATAGAACTGCTCTGCTGCTCTAATAGAATTGTTAGCCTTCAGTTTAGTTTTACTGCTAGTATTTCTTAGCTTTGCCTCTTTAAGCCAATTCATTTATGATTAATACCAAAAAATATTTCACTATATCATTTTTTAAATAAAAATAAAATATTTCATTCACAAGTTTTAAAACTATTGGTTTTATGGTAATTAATAGGATAAACTACCTGATTAAACAAATATTCTTCATTTTATTTTACAAAGATAAAAAATATTTATTTAACAATGAAATTTTCAGCATCAATGATTTTGAATACTTCATTCCTGTATTTTACCAGGTCACTTTTCCTATTTTTTGCAGCTCTATAAAAAAGTTTAAATATCATATCTGGGCAAGGAGGTGTCACATTTCCAACTTTTTCAACATCTCTGAAATACTGATATATACAATCTGAAATCATATGGAATTTATTTTCAGAATAACCTCTAGAAATTTGAACCTTTTCCCAGCTCTTCATGTCTTCCAACATTTCTTCCCTTGGTGGAAGATTGACGATACCAGTCAAGGTGTTTAGCGCGCATCTTGCCTAAAATTATTTTTTCATTAACATACAAATTTTAATACTCAAATGATTTTAAAAAGCTCAAATCTAATATCTAATATGTTACATAGGTATTTTGGAATGAAAAGGGTCAAGGACCAAAACTTAGAAATATGATTGCACTGAATAAATTTTTAAAAGGGCCAACAAAGGTATTTGTTAGTATCAATAGCTGCTATAAGCAGTACTTAGGACCTTTTAACAATTATTGTATTTTTTTTTTTGATGCATTTTACTCAAGCATCAATATTTTGGTCAATGACTTTTTTTGAGAAGGAGTTGATTAGGGGGTGCGGTCAAATAAATACTAAATTATACAAATATTAATATTTAATTTTTGCCGACGTTTCGACCCACTTTGCAAGTCTTCATCAGGGTGTTGGATGTAGCACTGCAGGAGGCAGTTGAATCACTGTGAGTGTTACATCCTACACCTCTAATATGTTACATCTAATATCTAATATATTACATCTTACATCCCGCTATGCTACATCCTACGCTCTGATGAAGACTTGCAAAGTGGGTCAAAATGTCGGCAAAAATTAAATAATACTATTTGTATAATTTAGTATTTATTTGACCGCACCCCCCAATCAACTCCTCATATTATATCACGGTCAATCATCTCTACATCATAATGAATTTTTTTGTTTTAAGGTACATTTATATTAATATAATAGTAATTAGTTTTCCATTAAATAAATACCAAGAGTGATGTTACCTGTATTTCAAACATAGGAAACAGAAATGATCTGAATGGAAGTCCAATAAATACCATGGTAGGGTGCGTTATTGAAAATACTTGTTTGTACAACGGCGAAACATAATTATTATAAACTTTAATTCCACAACTCTCATCAAGAAATGGGAAGCTATATTTGTATCCTGGAAAAAGAAAACTTTTTATCCTACCAGTAAATATTTTTAGTGATTGAGTTAACAAAAATAGTTACACATTTTAAATTACGTTTTGTTTATTGTCAGGATGCTCTAATTTAAATTTTTTTTTCTAACGTATTAAATTTAATTAATGAATAGATTGTCCCATAACAAATCCATTGGCAAGTGATCAAGTTGGAAAATTTTTCTATACAAGCCATGCATACAATCATAATTCAAGCATGTAACAGCTAAATGAAAATTGGCTAACACTTTTATTCTTCTTACTCAAACTTTGTTTGAGGTTTCCTTTAAGCTTACTGGTTATTTAATTCTAAACACTCATTGTTTGGTGCAACAACTTAGCATTACATTACAACCATCATCATCCTATTAATAATTGTTATTATTTAATATAATTATTAATATTGCGTTTATAATTAATTCCTCTTAAACTGTTCCTACCTGTACAATATAAAATTGCATCAACTTCAGCATTGGTATCATCTTCAAAATATACAGTCTTCCCTTCTATTGCTTTTACATCAGGTTTATGGATAATATCTTCTGGAAAAAGTTGTTTAACTTCTTCTGTATAGTGGTGGCTTAGATAAATCTAATGCATTGAAAAATAAGAATAAATAACTATTTATTGAATAATATTAATGATTAGTTTAAATTGTGAAATACCTGTTTTGAATTCGGGTGAATGTTGAATGTTATATCTTGGGCTGAAGGACCCATGCCAATGATTAGTACAATTTTATTATCAAATATATCTGGTGTTTTGTAATAATGACTGTGTAAAGATAGCCCCGTGAAAGCTTCTTTAACTTCAACTTCTGGATAGTTTGGCAAACTATAATGGCTGTTAAAAAATAAATCATTGTGTGCAACTTCGTTTATAATATAACAAATGCCCACAACATACAAAAATGTACAATAAAACAAATTATAATTTTGGGAGCTAATTGTACAGTAATATTAGGTGAATAGAAAGGTAATAACTAAAATCTTATTAATACACTTTTTTTAACTTGTAATTTTTTTATTCACGCCTGTCCTAATAGTAATGACTGAGATATCGTTTCAAAATATAATGGTGTGAGGGGAGCAGTACCCAGCAACACCTCCTGGCATGATATCTACATTGTTGGGTGTTCAGGTTCCTCATTCACTGCCTCTTCCTACGCACGTTGCTAGGCATGTATGTTGAGGCCATGTCAATTTTAAGTATTGATGAATTAACTTATGAATATTAATTTTTTTTAGTAGGTCAATAACGTAATTAAAAATGACAAATCTAATGTCTATTCCATTCTCTTGATCATTACACTCGATGTTGGGATGTAATTGTAATTGCTTCAAGTTTTGAATGTACACATAATTATTGTAGAATTATTTTAACGTTTGTGGACATTATTTTTTCCATAAGTCTATAAATTCAAGCTTTTCAATAATTCAATATTTTTAGATATTACCATGGCAAGAGCTAAAAAAAAAAAAATAAGTGAATCTGAAAATATAAAAATATTGCAAAAAGAAAATTAAATATAAGGGAAGTTTAAAAGTAAATATTCAAAAATAGGAGAAGATTAAATAATGTGATCAAACTAGAAAGAGGAAATCAAAACAAATACTGATTTGACAAAATTAAAAAAAAAATAAATAAATGATAATAATAAAATGCTGAGGAATTTGTGGACATAAACACTCCACCTAATTTTCTATAGGGATATGTACGCCTGCAAGCCTCAGATGAAAGCAATTGGCTAGCTAATAAAAATTGTAAGACCAACGAAATACAAAACGTTGGTTGTTTCATGTGTAAATTATGATGATAAAGAGTCTCATTACTGAGGGAGTGTACTGCGAGTATATATACAATGTAAAGGAATTAGTGTATGATTATATGTTTATTGATCTGGATATAAAATTTATTGTAGTATCAATCATCTTTGTAGTCATCTTTTTTTTAGTTATTGTATTTGGGAAAGAAATATATATAAAGAAGTAACAACTTAATTATGTTATTGCTGAGACAACTTACCCATTACAGATGAAAACGGCATCATAAAACGTTGTATTTTCTGTTCCATGATTTAAATCTTTAGCAGTCAAAAGCCATCCCCCGTCTGTTCTGGAAACCCTTGTTACTAAGTGTTCTAGCTACAATATTTGTATTCTATGATCAAAATTACAATATTTAAATTGAAATTGAAAAAAAAAATATGTACTTCTTACTGCTATTACTTATTATATTATTTTAATTACTTTTATGTTGTCTTTCAAATTGTATTCATTACAAAAAGATTGGAGATAGTCCAGCACTTGTGAGGGAGTGATGTATGAGACATTTTCAATATCATAGTGGTACTCACTAAATTCCATTACTTCCTTTGGAAGATTAGTCCTTAAAAAATATGAATAAGTTAGGTATTTTTATAAGTAATTTTAATAATTATGTTACTTATACTAATAATCAATTTACCTCAAATCTCTGTACATGCTAGATGCAACAGGAAGACCATGCTTATCTACTGTGTTTTCTGAATAAATCCAAGTACCACCAACTTGATCACCAGTCTCAAACACATCGTAATTAATTCCTTTTTCAGAGAGTACTTTGGCAGATATCAGACCCGAAGCTCCGGCTCCAATTACAGCTACTTTCATTATCTAAACTTAATATTTTTTTATTAGTACATCTAATTTTTATTACTAAGTACAATTTGCAGTACTCATCTAATTAATTTGTTATAGATATTGCATTAGTGATTCCTTCTTATGTATATATTTAGTTGATAGGAAATCATATATAATTGAAATTTACAATCCACCTATTAACTATGGTAAATAATAAGGTTTGTTAAACTGTTCTCTGTATTTTAACATGCCTACTATAGGTTGATTGCATTATGACTATTTGTATTTACAGGTCTAGAAATATTTGAAATCATGGTTACATAAATGTTTACATAAACATTTATGTAAATATGAAATCTGTAAAAGAATATGTGTATACCAATTTGCAATGTCTGTGAAGTAGATAATTTGAATTGCTTTCTTGGGGATATAATGATTTAATTGACCTAATGGTTCATTACACTATTTTAGCAAATTAGTTTTGTTTCATCTAGGTTTAATATTTATAGGAGATTAATAGTTTTGTTTTGCTAGTAGTTGTAGTGGTGGAAATCAATTATCTGTCGGTTATTTTAATGTTTTTTAGAAAGGTACTATTGATTGAGTTAGTTTTTTTTTAAGAACTAAAATAAATAATATTTGAAGGAAAAGAATATGATTTTTGGTGATTAAGATTATATGAACTTGGAGATTTAAGAAAAATCCTGTATCTTTACATATTGTTTCTAAGATTAGAGTCCTAAAATATTCAGATCTGTATAGAAATATAATGATGTCTTGTAAATTAATAAACTGATTATGCGGTTTTACTTCTTGAATTCAAATATTGTACAATGTCAACATTTAAATCAATATCTCTATGTCAGTGTATGATATATTCCTAATCAATCAAATTTAATCCTAATAAATAAGGCAATTTAATATCACCAGATTACAAGCTTTTGGTTTTCTGTATTTTAAAAATTGTGTTCTCATTTTATTTTATGATTTATTATATGGATCTGCATATATAAAAGAATCTAAAGTTTGTTAATTTGCAGTTGCTTAATGAATAAAGATATACCTCATTAGAAATAGAAATCATTATTAATTAACTAGTCAGTATCAATTATTGTTAATGCTATCCGATAAAACTAACAATATGATAAATATTATTTATTTAATTTATTTGACATTAGTGCTGTAAAAGAATGATCAATTGGTTTTATCATGGGAAGTTTATAAAAAATTAACCACCAAACAATTATTTTAATTTATCAAATTCTTTATTTATGGAAGATATATTAGAGCATTAAAAAAAAAAAACTTTAAACAATATAAGTTTAATTCAAAATTAACTAAATGTAATCATTGTGACAAAATTGAAATTTTCTCATTCATATTTAAATAAATTTATCTGTAAAGTGAATTAAGAATTATAGGAGATGTATTAGATTAGTAGTAAAAAAGCAGAAATGCAAATTTAGAAATTAAGTTTGACAAATGATAACAAACTGTAACCAACCCAATGACGTATATAGTAGCCTCTCTCTGAAGTAATACCGAGTGAGCAGCAGCCAGCGAATGACTAAGATCCTTGAAATAATGAAATTGTTAAATATCATATATATTGTTTTTTTAATGACTCCTGATAAGGCATTTTGTAAGTATTTGTTCGTGTGCAGCATGTTGACACCATCTTTGATTTGTGAAGTTGCACCGTCTTTTGGCGGGAATTTTGAATTAAAATGGTATTTTTTTCTCTTGGTGGTGTTGTTTGCAAATTTCGAGACCATTATCTCCAACTCGTAAGTTATTTAGTCATTTATTATTATTTTGCTTATAATATGCGACTGATCGCATAAATTGTTTTGAGTTTTGTAAATTAATCAAGGAGTTGGTTGCGACTGCGGTCAATGAAGAAAACACTTTATATATTTTTTTAATGTATTCCTAAGTTTCGACAGTAGCGGATCCCGAATTTAGTTTTGGGGAGCATGTTATTTTTATTTATTTATTTTTTTAATAATGGTAGCTATTCTGAAAAAAAAAGGAAATAAACTTTATAAAATAATATTTAAGAAGTCCTTGAAGGTCTGTCAAAAACGGGGGAAGGGAGTGCCACCTTATTAAGGTTTAAATGAAATTTTAAAAGAAACTTTAATTTTGTATTGTTTATTTTTCATCATTAGTCAAGAAGATAATTTTGAATTGATGAAAGTATTAACGGAGCATAAACAAAAAAACTCGTTTACAGGGCAATAATACTTTTAGGGATAGATAGACCTTTTATATTTTTCCTTGACAGGTGTTTATATTCCGTTGCTGAACTACATTCATTATAATTCTAATTGTTCGAGAATTAGATCCTGAGCTCACTCATAGAAACAAATATAGACAAAAGAAAAAAAAAAATCATTTTGGGAGACTTCAACAGTGAAAGTTTATTTTTTGTTCCTTCCCCTAACAAAAAACCTGATGTGTGCAACACACAACTTTCATTTTTCTAAAATTCTTCGCTTTCCAACGATATATGATACGTATATCTTATGACTAGTATTTCCGGTGATTCATTTTTGACCTGGGTAAGCATTTTTATTTTATTTTTCTCCTTTATTCAATTATCAAATTCTTTCAAAAGTTATATTTAGCATTTTTTCGTAACTCTTAATAATGTGAGATACAGTTAATTATTTTAAATAAACTATATTAAAGGTACTTTAGAGGAAGACGTATGAACATTGTCCATTTAAGCTCTGTATAGTGACATCAATGGGGATAAGGCCTATTTTTCATTAAAGACCACTTAATTATACAATGCTACACCAAGTTTAACCAAAATCGTTAGAGTTTTTGAGAAAATTTTAAAAATGTGTTTCACCGATATAAAGTGGCACTTCCGATTAGCCGATTTTTACGAAAAAGTTGCTGTAACATAACAAGGGAATTTTTTTTCAATTTGAATTTAGAGTGCTACCAATGGGTAGTTTCTCAACAAGCTTTTTTATGTGATTGTATTATTACCTTGTGCACATTTACTTGATGTATTTTTAATTTATACAGTTGTAAATCTCATGAATAAATAAAAATAATTAAATCAATTTGAATAGCGTTATCGTATTATTATCAGTTGAGATAGTACCAGTTTACTCATCATTTTAATGAGTTACAATGATTTCCTCTTCCATATAAAATTGGAAATTACGAACATGACATTTTAAAATAGAAAAATTGAAGATTATCAAGCTGATTTTTTTTTTTTATTAAAGATAAAATCAAATAATGACCAAGACAGAAACTGATTATATTTTCACTTGTGACAGACGAGCTTCGACTTTTTTTTTTTTTATTGATTATGGTTTTCTGACATTTAAAATTCGAGTGCTATATACAGAATAAAAAAAAAAAAAAAAAAAAAAAAAAAGGTGTAGTTTTAATGCCATTGAATAAGCGAAATTCGATCCTAGTTCGTGGCTAAAGATATTAAAGCCATCGTGAGAATAATATTAACATTATTATAACAATATGCATTAGAAATAATACCTCTGCCTTATGAGTGGGAACAACGGTCCTACAATGCAGCACTAAAGATAGTTATCAACTGTTTGACTTCAGACAAGAATTTATAAATATTATACGAAAAGAAATTTGTCCTTGTAGGTTGAAGGTCTTTGCATTATAACAGATTTCTGTGATAAAACGCGTTTTAAATAAAAACAATCTTATAAAAAATGAAAAATGTTCGTTCATAGACTCATGGACTATTTGGATCTGTGTTCAAAGGACATCGATTAGTCCTCTTGTTTTCCCTCTCTGCGAAGCAACTCGTACTTTTTGTTATAATTAGTTATAACTTGTTGTTATAACTATTGCACATTTTGTCCCCTTTGGTGTAAAAACTTCAAACCCGGCAATATATCTGTTTCGCGTTCTGCAGAATAACATATTGAAATTTCATTTTGCACGTTTTGGTCTTTTTGGGCTTAATTGCACGTTTTTGTATTTTTCTGCATGATATTGCATATTTTAACAATTTCTTTTATAACATGTACCATAGGTATGTATGTAAATATTTATTTACATTTATTATATATTATATTATGTTTGTAGTTGAGAACAGGAGTATCCAACCTATGGACGGTATAATACCAAAAATAATTTTTTTGTTCTCAATGATTTTATTCAAAATAACATTTTCAAGTTATCTTTCTGGGACCAAGAGATATTTTAGACTCCTATTGTTTGATATAAATAACAAAATTGCTATCCAAGTTCACACATTTTATTGTATAAATAGTAGTATAATTGGGGGTAACATATTTAATAATGTAATTTAATGCAAGTTGATATTATCACTTCCAAATTCTCTTATACTCATATTTCTGTTATTCGCGGTTCCAAAACATGTGTATATTTATTTTCTAGTTTTCAAACAAAAAAGTATGAAAGCATTTGTAAACAAACGTTATATTGTCGCTTGGCTAAATGTTCTTTGACAAAACGCCGCTGGGCTTGACTAGGGAATATGGATTTTAAAAAAAGCAAGGGAGCTTCACTCAAAATCCACATTTTTAAAAATTTAAATTAATCTGCAATAGTAAAATAAAGCCTCAATATAAAAATGCACCTGTTTTCATCAATAAAATATATGATTAATTTTTCATAAGCTGATTTCCTTTATTACCTTTATTATTATGATTTAGATTAATCGTTTATTTCAATTTAGAGGCTATAACTCTTAACATAACATTAAACAAGCATTAATATTATAAATTAAACAAAAACTATTATTTTTGAATGTTATGTGTACAATTTTACACTTTTGGGGGTTTTACTGCACGATTTTGCTCATTTTGAGTTTTACATTGCACGTTTTTCGGTTTTTTACTTCACGAAAATCCGGTCTCTAGTTATAATTAAATAACTACAAGCATCCTAGTTTTTTGAGGAACGTGTAAAATCTGATAAAAAGGAATACAGACGCTGAAGCCTGTTCCCCAAAATAAAATGTTTAGACTGCCGAGATTTCATCTTATATTAAGTGAAAATAA